GGCCGCCCGCAGACTTCGGCCCCGGGCGCGGCCCGCCGAGATCCCCGCTGCCTCCTCCGGCCGCTCCCGCCCCGGCGCCGGGCGCGCTCCCCCACCCGGTCTCCCCATGTATGACGACTCCTACGTGCCCGGGTTTGAGGACTCGGAGGCGGTGAGTGCCCGCGGAGGTGGGGGTGGGGAGCGGGGCGACACCTCCTCCCCGCAGCCCTTCCCGGGGAGCACTTGGAGAAACGCCGCCGCGGCGGGGCAGGCGCGCAGGGGCCGCTCTAGGACAGGGTAGGGCTCCGCGTCTCCCCAGCCTGGCCCCGGGGCCAGGGGTGCATCCTGGGGGAGGCTCGAGCAGGTGGCCCCGGGGCCGGGAAGGGGCACGGTAGGAAGGGCTGGAGACTGCAGGGAACACGGGGCGTGTGAGCTTCCAGACTGGGTTTATGGGGTCGGGACCCAGCAGCCGGGGAGCAGCTGGCACTTCTGGGGAGGGGGACACTCCAGACCTGTACCCCAAATAAAGGACAAATTGGTGAGCTGAAAGAACATCAGAGCCAGGCGGTGGCCTCTTCAGACAAAACCAAAACTTAAGCCCTTGGCTCCCTTTTCCCGTCTCTGCCACTGCCGTCGCCCTGCCCTCCCTCCAGCCCAGTTTGTCTCCTGGCGAGCCCCGGGCACCCGCACATGGGCGGGCAGCTGACCGCGCTCCTTAGAGCCTCCTCTGAGCAGCAGCAGGCGGCGCGCGTCCGTCCGGAGCTGCTCGCACGAGGGGCCTGGAGCTGAGGGCCTGGGCATGACAGGAAGCTCTTTGCTCAGAGAGCCAGGCAACCGATAAATATTTAATTCTCCTCTTCGCTTTTATCTTCTGACCCACTGAGACAAATCAGCTCATTAGGCAGTGATTCCAGGAGCTCAGAGAGGAGGAAGAGTGCCTGGAAAGATGGGGGCAGCCCCTCGGAGCTGTAGCCCTCCCTCACACAGCCCCAAGAAGGCTTCCAGGAGAGGACCACTAGACGGCTTGGCAGGGCCCAGAAGTGCCCCTGATCGAGTCTCCTCTGTGCTTGGCTGGATGAGTGCTGGCCTGTAGGCCAGACAGCTGTCCTGTTCAGGGCCTGAGCTCCCTGTGAGCCCAGGTTTCCAGGGCCCTCTGGGGATAATTAGATCTCAGCAAGAGCAGATGATTTTCAAGGGCCTGGTGGGCACCTCTTTCTGACAGTTAAAGGGACAGCTGGCCTGGCCCAGGGTGCCAAGGTGAGCTTGAGAACAAGCCCCTCCGTGGGCAGCAGGGCCCTGGGAGGTCCTTCCTGTCCCTGGTGAGAAGGCACCAGACAGATGGATTTGAGGGCACCTGCTGGCCCTTGCTCCCTCCTGTCCCTGTCCCTCTCTAGCTCCTGGGTCACCCTCCCCCACTTCTCTCCTCTTTCCTGACTCCTTGCTCTCCCTGAGGCCCCCTCTGAAGCAGTAGGAGGGAGATCAGGCTCTAAATAAATCCACCGGCTCATCTCCCTCCTCTCCTTCCCCCGTGCCAGGCAAGAGAGGAGCTGCAGCCTGCCCACACGCTCACCAGGCGAGGGGGCACCACCAGGGCACCCTGCCAAGTCTGGCAGCTCCCAAGTACTGGGCTGGCTGGTTTGGCATAGCAGGGGAAGGGCAGGTGAGACCCTGGCATATGCTTGTGAGGGCAGCCTGGCCTCAAGAGCTGGGTGAGCCCTGAGGACATGGGAACTTAGAAAGGGGCTCCATTCCCAGCACAACTCACCAAGACTGACGGAGAAAGTCTGTTGTTCCCTTCCTACGGTGAGAAACCAGCTCATTCAGACAGCCCTCACAGGGGCATGCCCATCACTGAAGCAGGCTGAGCATGGGCAACAGGGAGCACCAGGATGGGAAGCATCGGAGGGACAAAAAACAAGCAGTCTGCAGGCCCGTTGCCTCTGCTTGTTCAGCCACCCAGGCCCCACAGAACCCTGGGAAGAAGGTTCTCTTGCTCTGTGCAGAAGTTTTTTCTGGGGCTCAGCCTGTTTATCCTGAAAGCACCCATGTCTCAGTTTAGTATGTGGAGAGAAGCAGGCAGGTGTTACTCCTGTACAGTGAAAGGACATCACCACACATGCACGCACACTCTCACACGCAGGCACACCCCTCCATGCCTTCCCCCTACTGCAGACATTGTCTTTAGCTTAGGCTCAGGGGAGGAGGCTGTGGTTGGCAGCATGTGTGTGACTTACCTTCACAAAGACTCTTGCTTCTGTTGCTTTCTGGGTCTTGAGAGAATGTTCCTTGGCCTGAGACCGCCCTAAAGTGTCTTCCCCTACACATGCTTCTTTGTGTAGGTTCTACCTTGTCTCTGCCACTGACACCTTAGAATTGAGGGAAGTAGCCCTTTAGCACTCCAGCACCCACTCCAGCACCGAAACTCCCTTGCTATGGGCAGGACACACACACTGTCCCTGCTCATGTTGCCAAAAACCCCCTCCCCAGGTCCCCAGGGTCCTGTGCCTCTGCTAGGTTGCCTGGCACCAGCATGGCCTTCCTCCAGGGCCTGATGTCCCTTGGGCCTGGGGAGGGGGTGAGGAGACGTAGGCCAAGTGGAGGCACAGCCCCGCCTCACTTGTGCAGGGAGGACAGCTCTGAATTGCTCTCATGGTCTGTGTCTTGCTGGCTGCTCACACCCGGCCGGCCACTTGCCCAGCAGATATGGGAGGAAAGAAAGTGTGGACTGAGAGAGTAAAGTCAGGTAGCATCCAAGAATTGGCAGCTCTGGGCCCTTCACCCTGAGAAAACAAGCTTGCTGGGGCAGGGGAAGTAGGACCTAAGTGGGAAGATGGTGGCTGGTCCTGACACTCTGGACTGGCCAGCATCTGCTCTGCTCTGTTCTGTTTTGAGGCAGTCTTACTGTGTCATTCAGGCTGGCCTTGCACTCAGTGTGTAGCCCAGGCTGACTGCAGGTGTGAGGCCACCCTCCTGCCTTGGCTCCCCAGTGCTGGGGTTCCTGGCGCGTGCCACCACACCTGCTTCATTGCCGCACTTGGCCAGACACAGGAAGGGATAGTGGCCAGGCTGCTTTGCAGGCTGGAGAGAACGAGAGAGGCCATTCTTCTGGAATTTCCAATATGTCGTCTTCAGTATATCTCCTTTCCCTCTGCCTCAGAAGACAAGACAGTGGGGAGACGGAGACGAGGGAGGGAAGAGCTCTGACCCCCGGCATAGGCATGGTGGCACACTCTGAACAGAGGCTGTGCGTTCAAGGCCAGCCTGAACTGCATATGAGACCCTGCCTCCGAGATCAAACAGAAGTGAAAGCTCTGTTCAGGGGTACAGCAGGAACAGTGTTGGGTCGGGGCAGGGAACCAGATCTGCACACACATGCATGCGCCAGCTTACCTGCAGCTCAGCTCAGGGTTACTGGGGCCCCTTCCGAGAGTCCAACTGCCCCTAGAAGCCAGAGGTGACAGGGACACCAGTGTGGGACCAGGAGGGTGTCCTTATGGTGTTGCACGCCTGAGGCCAGGAGTTGCCATCTCTCTTCTTTCACAGGGTTCAGCTGACTCCTACACTAGCCGCCCATCTCTGGACTCCGACGTCTCCCTGGAGGAAGACCGGGAGAGTGCCCGGCGTGAAGTGGAGAGCCAGGCCCAGCAGCAGCTTGAGAGGGCCAAGGTAGGGCTCTGGGCGGGCAGAAAGGGCTGAGGGCAGGGCGTCCTTGTGCGCAGCAGAGCACGTGGGTGGGGGGCTCAGGACACTGAGCTCCTGCTGGGGCTCTGCCCGCCCACGGGTGCCTCTGCCTTGCCCTCATGGCCACATTCTCCAGCACAAACCTGTGGCATTTGCTGTGAGGACCAATGTCAGCTACTGTGGCGTGCTGGATGAGGAGTGCCCCGTACAGGGCTCTGGAGTCAACTTTGAGGCCAAAGATTTTCTGCACATTAAAGAGGTGATGATGTTCCCACCCTGCAGCCTTTTCTAGCCTTGCATCAGACCCCAGAGCCTCTTCCTCTAGGTCTCTGTCTATAAATAAGCCCCACACTCCTCCTCTCTTGCCCTTACACCTGTGCACCCCACTACCCAAGATGGGGTCCCCAGGGTTGCCCTGCTTCTGATACCTGGCCCAACCCTGAGTTTCCACGTGTAAAGCAAGAGGAGAGATTAGCGCCCTCTGAGACCCCTGTGCGGCACCCCACCCTCTGGCTCCTGCAGCTCAGCTGCCCCCCACCTCCAGCACCTCCTGCCCACTGCCCCTGTCTGACAACCTGCTCCCCAAGGCCTCTCCGCCCTCTAACACCCTAATGCTGAAGCTGCTCTTCTCCCTCCCTAGAAGTACAGCAATGACTGGTGGATCGGGAGGCTAGTCAAAGAGGGTGGGGATATCGCCTTCATCCCCAGCCCCCAGCGCCTGGAGAGCATCCGGCTCAAACAAGAGCAGAAGGCCAGGTGAGAGCAGGGCTGAGACTCAGTGACCCCCACCACAGGCACCTGGCCCAGGTTCCTGCCACTGCATGCACATGTACCGTGTGCCTAAGCCCTGAACAGCACACAGCCAGGGCCTGCACATTTTTGCTCCACAGACCCACAGCCCTTCAGGCATGTGCACATTGCCCATGTGCTCTGGCCTTACAAAAGCAGGTGGGAGGAAGGTGTGGTGGGCATGCACAGGGGAAGCTGAGACAAGAGCGTTGTCCGTAGTGCTGGGCCAGCCTCCGCTGCTCCGCAAGTTCAAGGTCAGCCTGGACTATAGAGGAGACCTGTCTCAAAATAGAAAACCCCAAAAATGTGGATGGAAATTTGTACAACTATTAAATGTGTAGAGAAACAAACATTCTCTGTCTCCCTGCTTCTCTTCTTTCCTCATCCTTCCCCTTCTGCCTTTCCTTCCCTTCCTCCCTCTCTCCCTGTCCCTCCCCCAACCTCTGTCCTCCCTCTCTTCTCAGGAGATCTGGGAACCCTTCTAGCCTGAGCGACATTGGCAGCCGGCGCTCCCCTCCTCCATCTCTAGGTAGCCTCCACAGAGCGCCCCCTTGGGCCAGGGCTCCCACAGTGAGCTACAGGGCGGGCTGGCTCTGCTGGGGAAGGGAACACGTGGGCCAGGGGCTTTGCTTTCACCAACTTTGATCTTTTATTTCCTTTTCCAAAAGCCAAGCAGAAGCAAAAGCAGGTGAGTCAGGGAAGGGACTTGGGCTGGGGGACTCAGGGCTCTTGGTTCTGAGGAGCCTTCTAGCCAGTCATCTTTAGAGGAATAGAACAGAGGGGAGGGAAGGAACCCAGAACTCCTGACATCCCCCCACCCCCCACCACCACCCCTGCAGCAGGCACAAGGCAGTCTGGGGCCATGAATTTGCCTGACCTGTCCATTCTGCAGGCAGAACATGTACCCCCGTACGACGTGGTACCCTCCATGCGGCCCGTGGTGCTGGTAGGACCCTCTCTAAAAGGTTATGAGGTGAGACAAGGCCCCAGGGACTCACTCCTGCCCCCTGGTGGCAGGAAGGTGCAGGGACAATGGGAGGAGTGTTCTGTCCGTCTGCGCGGAGGGCCTAGGGCCATGCAGGCATACGGGCCTCTCTCCAGCCCTGGATCAGTGCCACCTCCCTGTCCACAGGTCACGGACATGATGCAGAAGGCTCTCTTCGACTTCCTCAAACACCGCTTTGATGGCAGGTAAGGAGCCACAGAAAGTGGGGCTGGGGAGGCCAGGCTGAGCCCCGAGTGCCAGCTGTGACACCCTCCTCCCAGGATCTCCATCACCCGTGTCACAGCTGACCTCTCTCTGGCCAAGCGATCCGTGCTCAACAACCCTGGCAAGAGAACCATCATCGAGCGCTCCTCGGCCCGCTCCAGCATTGGTGAGGGCCTTTCTGCCTCTCTGCCCACTGGAGCCTTCTTTTTCCCTTGCCCAACTCCTTGTCTTCTGCCCCTCTCTTCTGCCTGCCCCTCTTCGAGAGCCCGAGTTCCCTGGCCCTCTGCCTGGCTAGGCTTCCAGCTCCTTCCTGTCTACCCCAAGCCTCAGTTGTGGGAGTCAGCCGCCCACGGGCGGAGCCCTTGTTGAGTGCTGCTGCTACCCTCTTTAGCTGAGGTACAGAGCGAGATCGAGCGCATATTCGAGCTGGCCAAGTCCCTGCAGCTCGTCGTCCTCGATGCAGACACTATCAACCACCCTGCGCAGCTGGCCAAGACCTCGCTGGCCCCCATCATCGTGTTCGTCAAAGTGTCCTCCCCGAAGGTAAGCCTGTGGGCAGAGGGAGCATGCACCCGTGGGGCTGCCCACCGCTCCGAGGCCCAGCTCCACCCGCCCTCCCAGGTCCTGCAGCGGCTCATCCGCTCCCGGGGAAAGTCCCAGATGAAGCACCTGACTGTGCAGATGATGGCGTATGACAAGCTGGTGCAGTGCCCTCCGGTGAGTGCCAGGCTTGGCTGCTAGCACCCACGGGAGAGGAGGGATGGGTGAGAGCTGCTACTGATAGGAGGAAGTCAACCATCTGCCTCCGTCCTGCCTCCCAGGAATCCTTTGATGTGATTCTGGATGAGAACCAGCTGGAGGACGCCTGCGAGCACCTGGCTGAGTACCTGGAGGTCTACTGGCGAGCCACACACCACCCAGCACCTGGGCCCGGACCTCTGGGCCCACCCAGTGCCATCGCTGGGCTCCAGGTACCCTTGCCAGTAGGCATAGGTGTGCAAGCTAAGCCAGCCCCCGCAGGCTCCTTCCCTCATCCACAGAGGCTCCTGGGCCTGCAGCTCAGGAGGCTGACAAGCAGTTGAGTTCCTTGACAAGGGCCAAGGGACTTCCTGACAGGGAGTGAACCAGTGAGGCAGGGAATCAGAGACTGGCTTTCTCAGTGTCAAGAGAAACATCTCGAAACCCTTCTCAGTCAGTATTGAAGACAGAGCCTGGATTAGTAAGAGGCAAGAGCTTTAGTTTTCCACATCCACCAGGAAGAATGCTCCAGCATGCTGTGCTGTGACACTTATTTCCTGTACTTGGTAACTAAGAACTGAGAGGGAAGAGTCCCCCCCGCCCCCGCTGTGCCAAAGGCCAGGTCAGTGCCGCCTAACAAGAGCTGTTCTGTGCCCCCCAGAACCAGCAGCTGCTGGGAGAGCGGGGTGAGGAGCACTCCCCGCTGGAGCGGGACAGCTTGATGCCCTCAGACGAGGCCAGTGAGAGCTCCCGTCAGGCCTGGACGGGCTCTTCACAGCGGAGCTCACACCACCTAGAAGAGGACTACACAGACGCCTACCACGACCTGTACCAGCCTCACCGCCAGCACACCTCGGGACTGCCCAGTGCAAATGGGCATGATCCCCAAGACCGGCTCCTAGCCCAGGACTCGGAGCACAATCACAGTGACCGGAACTGGCAGCGCAACCGGCCTTGGCCCAAGGATAGCTACTGACAGCGTCCTGCTGCCCTGGCAGGCACAGGCAGAGCTGGCTGGGACACCCACTCCAGGCAGGTTGGGATTAGACTGCCATTAGGCTGCCACTAGACTTGGCTCCCACAATCCCCTGCCAAGCCCCAGCTCCTGGGTTGCCTGTGGTCCCCCGGTTCCAGGAAGCAGGGCCCCCAACCTCCTGAGCACAGTGACCCCCTAGGTTCTACCCCAGGTACTAGCTGTGTGTTCTGCACCCTGGCGCCTCCTTTGCCTCCTGCACAAGCTGCCACACTGGGTAGCGCCCTCAGGCTGGGACCCCGTAGCAGGGCCCTCCCATGATACTCAGGGAAGGGACCCCTAGAGTAGCCGGAGGGTGGGGTGTGGGTGCCATGAACCAAGGAGGAAAAAAGGCTCCCAGGCAGGCCCGACCCCAGTAGTCGGGCTCGGGACTGTGCTCTGGGCTCCAATGGCCTCTATACTCACCTCACTTCCACATATCAGAAATGAGACAATCAAAGCCCAGCAGCTGGCACCTCCACTGTGGCGGGAGAGCAGCCCTACGCACGGCTGAACAGCATAGGCAAGGCCAGGCTAGAGACTGCTGCAGCCCGACTTGCACAAAAGGGCCCCTTGCCTGGCTGGCAAGCTTAGCTTCAGGACGTGGGGGACTGAGCGTCCTGGGCTGGGAGCTTGGGAAGCAGAGTGCTTTTAGGGCCTCACACTTCCCTCTTAGGCCCTTGCATCCGCCATTTCTATTCCTGCCCTCAGGCCTCCTGGAAGATAGGCGCTCAGGCTTTCTTCCCTGCCTCCTGGCTGCTTGTTAGGTTAGGGATAGATGGGGAGTCACACCGGGCATCCACCTGGCTCCCCTTGTCTATGGCTCTAGTGTGTGACCTACAGAGCATGCTCCACAGGACCCTGCCCCAGCTCACCTCATCACCAATAAATCACCATGCACCGTTCCTCAGGTGTGTGTTCTGAGCCTACCAGCGTGGGGAACCAGGTTTCCGGCTACGTAGCCCACACCTGGTGAAAATAAAGACGTATCCTGGCCTCTCCCTTCTTTAAGGACCCAGAGAGGGGAAAGGGGCAGAGCTGGGGGTTCTGTATTCCGGGGTATCCCCACGTCATGCCAGATGCCTGAAGGCAAACTGTGGGTGGCCCAGAAGGGCCTTGGTCGCAGGGGCAAGGCCGTCCCAGCTTCCCCAGGCCTTGCCCTGAGCCAAAGAGGCCCTGGAAACAGCTGCAACCTGAATCCTGCACACTGGTCCACCGCAGAGAGGCAAGGAAGGGCGGGAGAGGCGTGGGGAGGGTGCAGCCTCCTCGCCAGTCTAACCAGCTGGATCCAGTGCTCACGCCTCAAGGCTGCAGAGCCCACCCCCCTTCACTGTCCCCTCCCTGAGCAAGGCACCCAGCAAAGACCTTGACAGGTGTCAGGCATACGGCGACAGTGGATGAGTGTTGTCTCACCTGCCAAAGTGGACAACTTCCCTCATTCTAGTGCGAAGCTCCCTATGGGATGCCTGGGCCAGGGCTGTGTTCCAGAAGGCCAGAGCGGAAGGGCAGAGGTGCTGGCTCCTCCCGCCCATAGGCTCTCCATCTGCCTTCGGGCCCCCACAAGCCCACCTACCCGCTGGGGCCTTAGGCTTCTCTCGCGTGACTCCGAGGCCCCAAGCAGCCCACTGCACCACTGTGTCCCCCTCCTGTCCTGGGAAGCTGAGCGAGCCTGGGAAATGGGCATAGCTACAACCACATACAATCTTAATATTCATCATTTATTCTCAACATATAAACTCATCTTCTCAAGAGAATAGAAAACAGAGATTTCACTCAGTGACTTCAAGACAGACACAGCCTGCTCATCCTGTGCCCTTAGCCACTAAAGACTTCCCCAGGGCAGTGATGTCCAGAGTGCCCCGCACTCAGGCTTGGGACTGCATACTCCCCGAGGCTCTGGACTTGTTTTATACTCCAAGTGGGAAGACAGCTGTCAAAACGACAGCGTCAAAGGTCTAGTCCCCGCGGTGCCGACGCCTGGGGTGATCCAGCGGTGTGGGAGCAGCATCCCACTTGTGCTGCCCAGCCTGTGCCGCCAGAGGGCCCAGCAGGCAGCCTGCGTTCATCAGTCTGGGGTTGCGTGGACCAGCTGCCCCATTCCCCGCCAGGAGCTGAGAGCCTGGAGCCATCTTAACACCACGCCCGAAAGGCAGACTGGGGTCAAACTCCAGCAACAGCCGTCCTTGTCTCAGATGGCATCTGTCCTTCCGCAGTGCCACACTCAGGCCTCCAGATCCAAGGGCCCGGGCCAGGGAGACTTGCTGTTTTCCAAGCCCTGGTAACCCAAGAGAGAACCTGAAGAGGGACGCGAGGGTCCTGAGGAACAGGGGTCGCAGCGCCAGCACACCCAAAGGCCCTGGAGTGCTGCGTCAGGCGAAGATGGTCTCCTCCCGGCGCTTCTTGGTGAGGATGGTGCCCGGCTTGTGCTGGGCATCGGGATGGTTGGCCAGCTCTGGGGGGCAGGAAGACACCGGGCTCTCCAGGATGGCTTGCTTCAGCTCATAGAATACAGCGGAGTCCTCCTTGGTGAGGAAGGTGATGGCCACACCACTCTTGCCTGCTCGTCCTGTGCGGCCAATGCGGTGGATATAATCTGGGGAGCAGGAACAGTGTTACTGGGGACCACTCGAGAGATTCCCAACATGGTGGCCAAAGCACCCACTGCTAAAGGTACCCTCCTCCCCACTGTGCCTGCTGCTCTGCTCCTGACAGCAGCCACTGCGCCACCAAGCCCCACCCAACTGTGAGGACAGAAGCACCAGCCTACACAAGCTCAGTTACAGCACCCCAGCTGACAAAGGGAGGGAAGCTGCACCCCAGCACGTACCTTCAATGTTTTTGGCCATATCGTAGTTGACGACCATGGACACATCCTGGATGTCGATACCACGACCAGCCACATCTGTAGCCACCAAAATATCTTTGGCGCCGGCCTTGAGGTTGGACAGAGCGAACTCTCGCTGTTCCTGGCCTTTTCCACCGTGCAGGGTACACGCATTGTACTGCAGGGAGAATGCTGGGGTGAAGGGATGCAGTGGACATGGGACACAGAAGGGGTGGGGACGGGGAGAGCTGGGGCATGGCAGGAGAACAGAGAAAAGCCAGGAGAGCACAGGGGAGCTACAGGATGGGAGACAGCAGCGTGGGCTGGCAGGGACCACAGGGTGAGGTCAGAAGCCACTGGAGAGGGGAGTCTGCCCGGTGAGAAGCTCCCATGAGATCCAGGCAGGAAGCACGGTCCAGAAACTTACAGGAGATGGGCTGAGTGAGGAGGCCGTGTTCTTCCCTCAAGGAGAAAGGACACTGGTGTCCCCCTCTCTCTCCTGACCCCACCGTCTTGTCTCCCACAGACACTCAGCCCTGCCTGCTCTAGTTCACACAGCAAGCCCTGCCAGCACTGCCACCCTACTTGACGGAGCCCTGAGACAGCCTGGGCTGCACTGCGGGGCTGGACGCACAGTGCTTTCCTCACCCTCCCAGTTCCCTCAAGTATGCTCCTCCCAGTGACTCTGGCTTGCTGAATCCTGGAAAGGCTTAGGACAGCTGAGAAGAAAAGCCAGATGCCTAGCAGCTCCTGCAGTTTCAGAAACCACCACCACTCATGCCAGGCTTACCCCCATCTTCTCCAGGGATTTAGCCAACACATCACAACCCTTCTTCTGGTTGACAAAGATGATGATGGGTGGATCGAAGCCTTGCTCCAAGATTGCCAGCAGCTTTTTCCTGGGGAAGAGAACAAAAGGGTGCCTAACTCCTGCCACTGCAGTAAAACGCCCCTGCCCCATGAATGTCGACAGCCCAAGGTCTTTAATCCTCCTAAGTACCCAGAGCACAGCACAGGCTTCCAATGGCCCCGCAACTGCCCTGCACCACTGCCTGCGCTCACAATCTGTGAAGCCATTTCTCCCTCCCTCCAGCTCCGCTCCCAGCCCCACTGCTCCACACCTCTTTTCAGACTCCGACATGAGGAAGACCTTCTGCTCCACACGTTCATGAGGCTTGCCAGCAGAGCCAATGTACACCACAGCAGGACGCCGCAGGTAGCTCCTGGCCAGACGCTCCACCGCAGGGGGCATGGTGGCCGTGAACATGACGGTCTGTGGAGACAGGAGGCCCAACCCAGGCCCAGGCAGACACCATCACCTATCTGCTGTCCCAGCAGCCACTCAGCCCAGGCTACAGAATATGTGAGTCCTGCTGCCCTGCCAGCCATCGTGGTAGGAAGGAGCACCCTCTGCCTCCCACGAGCTACTTATCAGGGTGCTTTACGGCTCATGCTCACGATGACAGGAAGAGCCGAGCTTGTGAGTAGCAGCCCAAGGAGCGTCTCAAGCCCCGCCCTCAGGACCGCCCAGGACTGGGTCTCGGCACACTTTATCGTGCTGGCAACAAGTACCCTGAGCACCCTGAAGCAGGAGGCGCCAGATCAGGTTCAGGTCCACCCTTACTTGTCGGTACTTATGTTTTCCTGACTCAAAGTTAGCCAACATCTTTTCAGGGTCCTCAGCCTCATCCGTGTCTGGCTTCTGGTTGCTGACGGGCATGTGCTCCAGGATCTTCTGGACATCGGGCTCGAAGCCCATGTCTATCATCCTGTCCGCCTCATCCAGAACCACATAGGTGCAGCGGCTGAGCACCAAGTAGCGGTTCTCCAGCACGTCGATCAGACGCCCTGGGGTGGCAATCACAATCTGTGGAGTGCAGCAGAATCAGACAGGCCCCACGGAACTCCCTTCTTTTCTCTGTAAACCACCCCAGCCCTGGGACAACTGATTTCCAATTCCAAGAAGCCTGGACCCCAAACTCCAGCCTGGCAGGTGTGGCAGTGATAGGTCCCAACAGCTGACGCGAAACCACTTGTAGCTACTTTGGATTTTTCCAGGAAGGAATGGGGTCCAAGTAAGACTGAGGGGTTAAATGGGAGGCAAAGTCTGAATGAATTTCCTAGGTGGGAGAGAGACTAAGGAATCCTATGCAGACTCAGTTCCTAAGCAGACTTCCAGAAGGCTCACCTCCCTTTTTCTGAGAAGCAAATCGGAGCAATGACATGATCTGCAGAACAATCAGAGCTACTCTGCCAACTGCTGGCTCTGCGTGAGTTCAGGCCAAGTTATTACCCTGAGCCTCACCTTCATCTATACACTGGAGAGGCATTTCCTACCCTTCCACGGTTATTGAGAGAATCAATGCATCAGTGTGTGTGTACCTCCCCAGGGCACCATCCAGGGCCATTCCTTGTTTCACTGAACATCTACTCCAGAAGCCAGAACAAATCTCCAAGACAGACAGCCAGCCTGAACAACATGTGGCTGCCTGCTATGGAAACAAACCTCACAACCCATGCGCAGACGGAAGCCCTGGTCTTCTCTGGAGATGCCACCGATGACAGCCACGGTGCGGATGCCCAGCGGCTTCCCAAACTTGATGGTCTCCTCCTCAATCTGCTGAGCCAACTCGCGGGTGGGGGCCAGGATGATGGCATAAGGGCCCTGGTCTGACTCTTCAATCCTGCAGGAAACAGGGCATCCGTCTCACAGCTCTATCACAGAAGCAAAACGAAGTCACACTTTTGGGTACCATGGGACACGGAGGCTGGCGGGGAAGATGCAAAAATTCCATGTAACAGTCAGACTTCAGGAGAACAAATTTCTCTAGGGAATGATTCTTTTTTTTTTTTTTTTTTTTTTGCAGAACTGGGGATTGAACCCAGACACTTGTGCTTGCCAGGCTAGCACTTATTCTGAGCCATCTTCCCAGCCCCTCTAGGGAATTATTCTGCCAGCAACAAATCCTAACACTTCTTTATACTATAACCTAATTATCCTTAACACCCAACCCAGAGCAAGGAAGTTTGATTATAAACTTAAAAAACAGACATCAGAGGCTGCTCCATGGCAGAGGACATGTTCAGCATGCAGGAGACCCTGAGTTTAATCCCCAGCACCACACAAACTCTGAAACACTCATCTGCCACTTTCACTTTTCCTCCTAGCCAATGCCCTCATCGCACTTGGGGCAGCCCACCCCACCTGTCAATTTTGGGAAGCGTGGTGATCCACACCAGCAGTGGGATGAGGAAGGCTGCCGTCTTGCCACTGCCGGTCTCAGCAACACCAATGATGTCACGATTCTGTAGTCCAATGGGGATTGCCTGACGCTGGATAGGTGTTGGCTCCTGCAGTAACCCAGAGAGAGCAATGGGTACCGGCACTGCTCACGCGTGGGCACACAGGCCAGCTGCATGTGCCTGGGAGGAGGCTCCAGGTGGAGATGGCACCAATTAGTTAAGAAAAGAAGTTCCTATTCCCAAACTAAGTTCAGACAAAGAATACAGCAGGTCTGAGTCCATCCACCCTCTGTACCTTGTAGCCGCACTTATCGATGACCTCTAGGATGTGTGGAGGCAGAGAAGAGTCCTTCCAGGACCGGATAGGATTGGGGATCTTGCCACCTTTTGTGGTGATGCTGTAGTCCTCACGGAAGATCCGCCAGTCCCGGTCTGTCATCTCGTCCAACTTCTTCTGAGACCAGTGGCGGTCGTCCCAGCGCTGCTTGGCCTCCTTCTTACGAAGCTTCCGAAGTCTTGCCCTGGAGCAGAAGGAGCAAGTTGAATCAGCACCTCCTACCTCCTTTCTGGGGACTCTGGGCTCTGCCAACTACCCTTGATCCCAACTACTCACTCCTCCTGCTCCTTTTCTTCCAAAGTTCTCCTCTTCTCCATTAGGTCTCCATAGAAACGTGACTGCTCTCGTTTCTGCTGCTTTAGATCAATGCCTGCAATGAAGCCTCGCCCTAACAACTGCACCTGGTGCCGTTCTTTGTACCTGGGTTTCAGACACAGGAAAAAAAATGAAGCTATCATAGCTGCAGACAGGAAGGGCAGACCAGCAACATGCTCTGGTTTATCTTCCTGGCCAGGGTCTTTCCTTTCCCCAAGCACGGGATGAATACCAGCCTACCAACTGCCCATTCTAGCTTATCTAACTTTTCCTGCCGTTACCAGCAGCTTTCTCAGGCTGCCCAGAGCAGACGTTCCAGCACTCAGACAGAGCCACTCACAGAGGGTTGTAGTCAATGGATGTGTCTTCGGAAGCGTCCCACTCAAACACAAACTTCCGGTCATTGAGATGCCTCGTCCGGCGCCGCTTTTTGATGCCACCGAGGTAACGCTCCTGCTCGGGAAAAGGCACGAAGCCCATTAGCCTCGGGAACCAGTCACGCACATAGACCAGAGTGAGCAAGGGCCTCGTCTCTGTGTGTGCACCTTTTTTTTGGCAGGAACCGGGGACTGAACTCAGGCCCTTGCGCTTGCCAGGGAAGCGCTTATTCCACTGAGCCATCTCCTGGCCCCCTGTGTGTGCACCTTAATAGCGTGCAGTTCCTTGCTCTTGTCCTTCTCCTCCCGGATCTTCTGGCGCCCCTCCTCATCCTCATTGCCATTAGTCTCCCGCTCCATCCTCTCCCTGCGCTCCCGGCGCTCCCGTTCTTGAGGGTCTTCTGCAGACCAAACAGAAAAGTTCAGTGGAAGACACCAGGGCATGGAGGGAATCTAGATTATGGACACCAAACAAAGAAAAGGGGGAGATTTGACATTACAAGGGGAGAGAGAGCTAACAGAAAGGCACTTTTTTCATTGAATGTCCGCCACCTCTCCTTCATCCAGATTCTGAGCAAATAGGCTTCTCTGCCTCCTAAGCAACACTACGACCCCATCCCATCCTTTCCACACAGGATAAAAACAAACCCAGCATCTTCCTGCCCAAGTCCTGGAACTGCTTCCTTTTCTTCCTTTCCTCCTCCAGCATCTTCTGCCGTTCTTCCACCTCCTGCTGCCGCCGCTTCAAAGCTTCAGCCTCTCGTTCTGCTTTGGAGAGGAACTTGGGCTACACAACAGACGAGAATGTTAAAAGGAACAGGGAACAACCATAGCCAGGGAGACCACAGGATGCCAGAAAATATTTGCTCAGGCATTAAACTTGTTGAGGAAAACAAAAGTAGTTCTAGGACCCTATTATGAGATGAACTATGTGCACCCCTAAATCCATGTTAAATTTCTAACTCCTAGTCCCTCAAGATTTGACTGTACTTGGAGCCAGGGCCTCTAAAAGGTGATTAAGTTAAAATAGGCTAGGCTTTCCTATCTGGCTCGGGTCCTCATGGAGGGAACGTGGATACTCGGGTATCAGAGGCACAGCACACAGTGCCTCCACCACACGTGTGGTGTGCGGAAGCCAAGGGGAAGGACCGCAGAAGAAATAACCCTACTGGCGCCTTCACCTCAGGCTTCTGCCTTCCACAACTGCAAGAAAAGACATTTCTGTGGTGGAAGCCACCTGACTGGTGGTAGCTGGTTACGGTAGGTAGCTTGTACTCAGGTGGACCCTGAGGGTTACCTTAGCTTCGGCTTCCTCCTCAGCCTTTTTCTTGGCCAGTAGTTCCTCCAAGGACAGTGGCTGGGCCTGAGGAGGAAGCACAGGATTTCAGACCATAAAAGCTTTTTCCTTTTAGAACAAAAAGCGGCGCTCCAGTCCAGAGGAAAAGAAAAAACAATCATGCCTCTCCCTGACCTTTGGCTTCTTATCGTGCTCATCCTCCTCGTCCTTCTTAGAGTCTCTGTCCTTTCGAGATTTAAAATCCTTCCCTCGGCCAGGAGATAAGCTTTAAGGAAAAGGAACAGAAAGATCCATGTAAGTGTACTACTCCAGCACCTGAATGAGGTTCAGCTGAGCCCCAAAAGAGAAGGGAAGTCTTCCCATGACTCAGCAAGACTGGCCCACAGTCATCTAATCAGGTTCTAAAGATCCCCAAGCGGCATGTCCCTCTGCCTGCTTCACAACCTAATTAAGTCCCTGTCTAACCCCCTCTCAGCCATACCTCCTTTTCTAAAACTTTTTGAGACTGAGTGTGGTGGTGCACGCCTGTAATCCCAGCTCTTGGGAGGCTATAAACAGGAGGATCACTACAAGTCTGATCTAGTAGTGAGATCCTGAACACCCTGTAGACCCTTCCCTAAAATACAAGGGTTAGACAGGGGAGAGAAGAGAGGCTGAAAATTAAATTAATATGTGTTACATGCATGTGCCAATCCCACAGGGAGTGCAATCATTACATACTGCAAGTAAGCACTAACAAAAAATAAAAAATGAAAAATAATAAAACTAATCACTTTGGAAAGTTGACTTTCACTACTAATGTCAAAAATATTTCCTCTAAAAAAAATGCACTCTAGTCAGCAGCTACACATTGAAAAAGATTCTTTTTTTTTTTTTTTTTTGCGGAACCGGGGATTGAACTCAGGCCTGTATGTTTGCCAGGCAAGTGCTTATTCTACTGAGCCATCTCCCCGGCCCCAAAAAAGATTCTTAACTTTGTAACACGCGAGCCTACACAGCCAGCGCAGGAGCCAAGGGGATGCACATCTGTACCTCACACCGTCCTTGCTTCCTGGGAGACCAGCAGGCCTCTCTCTCCCCATGCACACCATGCCTTGCTTCCACGAGACCACAGACAATCCCACTGTACTTCTGTTACGGACATTCCGTCCTTTGCCTTGGATTCTAACTTACACATCCTGGGCCCTAAGAACTTTACACAGAACATTTCCAGAAGAAAGAGATTAAGATGCTAAAATTAAGCTACCCTAACAAAATACACACTGTCTATCTTTAGCAGGAATACCAAATAGCATAATGAGATTAAAAGATGTTTTATGGACAGTTAATCTTTTCAAGCCAATTTCCAAATTCCAAGAACAGGCTGAACCTCAACTTAGCTGTGACTTTACCAACCATATACTTTCTTTTTTTTCTTTTTGGCAGAACTGGGGATTGAACTCAAGCCGTTGCACTTGCCAGGGAAGTGCTTATTCTACTGAGCCATCTCCCCAGCCCTAACCATATACTTTCAAAAGAGGATGAGTGTGCTCCATGGTGGTGCACCTACTACCAACAGGATCTGCCAAGAGAAATCAGTCTGAAGCTGAGCCTGAGATGCAGAGAGGGCGAGAAGACAGCACCTCTCACAACCTGCCTCCACTCCTCAGTCACCTGGATCGTTTACGGTCCTTGTCGCGGCGGTGCCCATCCTTGTCTCTATCTCGGTCCTTCTTGTTCCGATCCCGTTCCTTATCCCGTTCTCGTTCTTTGTGCCGCCGTTCTCTGGAAGAGAGCAAATCTAAGAAACCATCGGACATTTCCATAGTATCACTGCAACCCTAAAAAGGGTCCCATGCTTTTTCTACGCGGTCATAAGGTGGAGAATATATTTCTGGGATGTATAATAGAAAATTCTGCATGTCAGAGTTGCACTGCTAAACACTAGCGGCAATCAGAGACCACTGACAACTACCTGAAGAGGTAAACTTCGATTATCTGGACCTCCATCTCATAAACTCCCTCTCAACCTTTCTTTCTTTTGGATTTTCTGAGACAGGGTCTCACTCTACAGCTCAGGCTGGCTTCCAACTCATGGCAATGCCCCTGCTTCAGCCTCCTGGGTGCTGGGATTACAGATATACACCACCATGCCCGGATCTTCTCAACCCTTAAAAGCTGGGTCACTAAGGAAGACTATGCAAGTCCAACTGGGGGAGAGACATTAATTTCTGAAAAGTAGCTGCCTACTACTAGAGGCACTGAACAAATCACAAAACAAATTTGAAATGTATTCTCCCTTCTCATGGAACTGACACACAAATTCATATCACCTCTCTACAGACTTGGAACGGGAACGGGAGCGAGAGCGGCTGCCCCCCCGGCGCCTGTCCCTCGACCGATGCCGCTTCCTGTCTTTAGATGGTGAGGACTTCCGGTCCCGGTCTCTCTCCCGCTCTCGGTCAGGAGTCCGTGATCGCTTCCTTTCCTCCTTGGAAGGCGATGAGTCTCGGTCCTTTTTGTCCGCCAGCTCTCCTGCCATCTGTCGCAGAAGGAGTATTTACATAGGCAATCTGCTGAGGTAGATCTGTTAGTACACCTGCTTTAGAGATGAGAAACTGAGGCTGTGGTATATGAACTAACTCGCCTGAGAATGCCCAGCGAGAAGGGCAGGTTTGGCCATTTGGCTCCAAAGGCCCATTTTCACTCAGTATACTACAGAGTCTCCCTGCAGCTTCTTTTTATATTCACTTCTAAATGGGTAAAATGAGTATACCACGTTTGTAGATGGACTGCAACGGAGCATTAAAAACCACATTAGTGGGGCCGGCGAGATGGCTCAGTGGAATAAGCACTTCCCTAGCAGGCTCAAGGGTCTGAGTTCAATCCCTGGTTCCACCAAAAAAAAAGAAAAAGAAAAGAAAAAAAGATGGACAACCAGTGGAATTACTTGTTCCCACTGGAGTCCTACCAGTCAGAGCCCTGCTGCTAATAGCCAGGCAGAAAAATAGAAAAGACATTTTGGGGGCCTGCCCCTTAGCTCAGTTCTTTAAGTGGCTGCTTCAACAAAGCAGTCAGGCTCAGGTTGCTGTGGTTTGATCCCCACAACTCAAGCCCAGCCAAACCTGCCCTGAAGGCATTCGGAGTAAAAAACCCCAAAAAACCAAAAACCACATTAGTGAATGAATAGCAACTCTGCTACTTCTAGAAACAGCCTGTGTTACTTATCTTAGGAGTCTATTAGGTTTGCTGGCCCACCAGGATTAGTCAACATATACAAAGCTAAAGGAAATAAATTCTCTTGAGCTCACAAAGAAAGCTCAAAAAAGAAAAAGTTCATCTTTGAGATTTAGATTATAATAAGCATCATAAAGAAAACCTGAATTTAGAAGAAACACATTTTTACTCATATTAAAAGAAATTACCGGAGCCGGGGAGATGGCTCAGTAGGATAAGCGCTTGACTGGCAAACGCAAGGATCTGAGTTCAATCCCCGGTTCCGCCAAAAA